ATGTCCCTGTCCCCATGGATGTCCCAGTGTCTCCACGAGTGTCCCCACGTCCCCATAGGTGTCGCAATGTCCCTCTGAGTGTCATCCACGTCCCCATGTCCCCATGGATGTCCCCGTGTCCCTGTTCCCATTGGTGCCACCCGTGTCCCTGTCCCCACAGGTGTCCCCATGTCCCCATCCCCACGAGTGCCACCCATGTCCCCACAGGTGTCCCCATGAGCGTCCCAGTGTCTCTACGAGTATCACCCATGTCCCCATGTCACCGCAGGTGTCCCAGTGTCTCCATGGGTGTCCTTATGTCCCCATGGGTGTCCCCATGTCCCCATGAGTGTCCCCGTGTCCTTGTCCCCATGAGTGTCACTCACGTCCCCACATCCCCATGGGTGTCCCCATGTCCCCACACCCATGAGTGCCACCTCTGTCCCTCATGAGTGTCTCTCATGTCCCCATGGGTGTCCCCACATCCCTGTCCCCATTGGTGCCACCCATGTCCCCAAGGGTGTCCCCAGGTTCCTCTCCTATTGATGCCACCCACATCCCCATGAGTCTCACCCATGTCCCCATGTCCCCATGGGTGTCCCAGTGTCCCCATGGGTGTCCCCATGTCCCTGTCCCCACTGATGCCACCCATGTCTCCATGAGTGTCACCCGTGTCCCCATGGGTGTCCCAATGTCTCCATGGGTGTCCTTATGTCCCCCTCCCCAAGGGTGTCCCCATGTCCCCAAGAGTGTTCCCGTGTCCTTGTCCCCATGAGTGTCCCCATGTCCCCATCCCCATTGGTGCCACCCACATCCCTGTCCCTCATGAGTGTCACTCACGTCCCCATGTCCCTGTCCCCATTGGTACCACCCATGTTCCCATGTCCCCGTGGCTGTCCCCAAGTCCCTGTCCCCACGAGTCCCTTGTATGTCCCCATGTCCCCGTGGGTGTCCCAGTATCTCCATGAGTGCCACCCATGTCCCCAAGTCCCCACAGGTGTCCCCACGTCCCTGTCCCCATGAGTCCCTCCCATGTCCCCATGTCCCCACGGGTGTCCCAATGTCCCCATGAGTGCCACCCATGTCCCCAGTGTCCCTGTCCCCATGAGTGGCACTCATACCCCCATGTCCCCACAGGTGTCCCCATGTCCCCACATCCCCATGGGTGTCCCCATGTCCCTATTAGTGTCCCCATGTCCCTATCCCTACGGATGTCCCATGTCCCTATTAGTCTTCCCATGTCCCCAAAGGTGTCCCCATGTCCCTGTTAGTGTTCCCATGTCCCCATCCCCATGGGTGTCCCCATGTCCCTATTAGTGTTCCCATGTCCCTATGGATGTCCCCACATCCCTGTCCCCACTGATGCCACCCACGTCCCCACATCCCCATGGGTGTCCCCATGTCCCCAAATGTGTCCCCATGTCCGTGTCCCCATTGATGCCACCCATGTCCTCATGTCCCTACAGGTGTCCCAATGTCCCCACTGATGCCAGCCACGGCCCATGGGTGTCCCCATGTCCCTATGGGTGTCCCCACGTCCCTGTCCCCACTGATGCCACCCACAGCCCATGGCTGTCTCCATGTCCCCATGTCCCCACGTCCCTATGGGTGTCCCCATGTCCCTGTCCCCACTGATGCCACCCACGTCCCCGCATCCCCATGGGTGTCCCCATGTCCCTATTAGTGTCCCCATGTCCCCATCCCCATGGGTGTCCCCATGTCCCCAAAGGTGTCCCCA